GGGGGGGGGGGGGCGCGGCTGAGCCGGGGCTCTATCCCAGGCCAGCACACCGCGCCCTGTTCAGTCCATGTGCGGCCGCCCTTGCAGGCCGAGCGCTGTGATCTCTGCTTGGAGCTTTATGCGGATTTGGGGTCTTTCCGGCGTCTGGAGGCCCAAGTCGTGGGAGCTTCCCCATCCTGCACTCAGACCCCCGGCAGGGTGGGTACAGGCTGGTCCTGTTGCCCCACAGATCCCTGAGTTCCGGAGGCCGTGAGCTCCCCCACGTAACAGGTGTAACAGGTTCTGTTAACAGGACAGCAGGTCCCGGTTGGATGATACCTCAGTGCTGGGCCCCACGCTCAGCCCCTTTACCCCTTCCTCTCCCTGCGATGCTGGGATATTTCCATCCCAAAGACGAGGAGGCAGAAACCAACCCACAGGCAGGTGGCGAGTAGGGCAGAGCTGGGGCTCAACTCTGGCCAACTGGCTGCGGGGCCCCTGCTTACCCCCTCCCTGCTCCATGGTGCTGGTTAAACAAGACAGTTTGGACCGTCCCTTTTTTGAGCAGAGTACTCTCCGCTGGGTCGGCCTGTGGTGTGACTTGGACCATGTACTCTGCCACCAAGGGGCCCAGTTGGACCCCACTGAGAAAGAGAGTGTGTGCACGGGTGATGGGCCAGAGCTCAGCGGGTGCCAGGGACCCGGGAGTCTGTGCAGATCTTGGTCCCATTTCACAGATGTGAAAACTGAGGCCAAGACGGCTAGAGAGGACAGTGTAGTAGTTTTCTAGGGCTGCTTGTGGCTTAAATCAACAGAAATGTATTTTCTCCCAGTTCTGGAGGCCAGAAGTCCAAAATCATGGTGTCAGCAGGGCCACATTCCCTCTGCAAGCTCTTGGGGGGATTCCATTCTGTGCTATTTCCTGCTTCTGGCAGCTCCAGGTGGTCCTTGGCTTGTGGCCGCATCACTCCCATCCCTGCCTCTGTCCTCACACAGCCTCTCCCTTGTGTCTGTGTCTCAAGTCTCCCTCTGCTTCTCTCCTATGAGGACACCTGTCATTGAGCTTAGGGCCCACCCCCAGTCCATGGTGATCTCATCTCCAGATCATTAACTTCATCACATCCACAAAGACCCTATTTCCAAATGAGGTCGTATTCACAGGTTCCAGGTGGATGTGAATTTGGGGGACCACCATTCAGCCCAGGACAGATTCTCTTATGTCACAGCAGCCGTGAACTTGGGGCCCACTTGCAGCCTCTCTTTCCCCTTCGTCCAGCCACATGGAGCCCAAGATTGGTCTTCCCGCAGCGGCAGGCCTGGCTGGGCTCCCTTCTGGGTTGAGAAGCATTTTTCTGGGCATCTCTAAAGCTGACTTGGGCTTAGCACCAGCCCCGGTTGCCTGGGGGCCTCCTACCTGGTTCTTTCCCTGTAGCCGCCCTTTCAAGTCTTGCTGCTTCTGTGTGGTGCCTCAGTCCAAGTTCACAGCAGCTGTTACTGATGGGCTTTAAAGATATTTTTAATCCTAGTGCTGCTTTAGGGCTTTCTGATCCATCAAAGCTGCCCCGAGGAGCCAGCAGCTCCGTCACGTTCACCTCTCTCCCCGCTTTCAGGCAGGCGGGTGTTTACGGCACCGAGCTGCTGCTCTGCCATGCTGTGTAACTGGAGATGGTCTTTCCATGACAACGGATCCTTGTGGCCTTTGTTAAGGGGCCAGAAATATCCCTGTCATTTCGTGGGAATCTTATTATCGTGGCTCTTGCCTCACTGTCTGCACCGTCTCTCTTGGTTACGTTATGAAGCCTGTGGATGTGGTCTCGTGGCCACCAGTTCCAGCCACCTTTGTCCCCTCCTCCGTGGCCCCCCAGCCGCTGTTCCCATCTGTGTGACCTAGGGCTTTCTTCTCCTTCCTCACTTTTGGGGGGTCAACCCCCTAAAGGAAAGAAAAGGAAGAGAAGGGAGTTTGAAACTAGTGTCTCCCTCCCCCTATTTCTTTGTCTTTGATAAAATATTGGGAAGGAACGAGGTTATGAAACAACAGATTGGGTGAGAGTTGTTTTTTTTTTGCATGGGTACTTTATTTCCTGTTGTCTCAGAAACCCATCCCTACAGGTAAAGGAGGGTAACCTGAATTTTTTTCAAATTGGTGACTCTACCAGGCTTCACATCATAAGTTTTCTACATGCGTTTGGCTCATCTGTGCAAATCTCCGGAGGAGCGCGTGTTGACGTGAGTTTGTTGACTTGGCAGGTGCTTCCTGGAGGCCTGGGGGGTGGTCTCCGTGCTCGTCGGCACGTTCGTCTTCGGGCAGAGCACGGTGGCGGCTGTCATGGAGCTGCTCTGAGGGGCGGCCCGCGCCCGAGCAGGATGGGGTCTCCACGGCTGCCCTGGTCCGGCTGCCTGCATCCAGCCGTGAGACCGATGTTATTTCATCATAAAGATGCTGGAGAAAGTGATACGTTCTGCCTTCCCAGGCTGCTCATTTGGGCTTCTGCTGGTTCCCAGGGTTTCTGGTGCAGTGGTGAGGAGTTCCTTAGGGTCCTGGGCCTGCCCTGCAAATGACCACAGACTGGGGGCTTCTGGCAACAGCAGTGCATTCTCTCACAGTCTGGAGGCTAGAAGTCTGAGATCAAGGTGTGGGCGGGGCTGGCACCCTCCCTCTGCAGGCTCGAGGGGGAGGGGGAGGGTCCCTCCTGCCTCTTGCAGCTTCTGCTGGTTGCTGGCCATCCTTGGTTCTCCTTGGCTTGTGGCTGCGTGCGTCCAATTTCTGCCGCCTCCCTCACGTGGCCGTCTTCCCTATGTATCTGTCTCAATTTCCCTCTTATAGGGCTCACCCTAATTCAGTATTTCATCTTAATTACTTAATTGGGATCTGCAAATATCCTATTTCCAAATAAGGTCACATTCACAGTTTCCAGAGGTTAGGGCTTAAACTGTGTCCCCCAGAAAAATAAGTTAAACCCGTAACTGGGAGGCAGGTGCTGAGGCCCAGAGAGCCCTACTTTGGGGTGTTGGGATCAAAGACACGAGGCAAGGGCATTGCTCGGTGGGTGAGAGCCCAGAGGGCATTTGGGGCGGCATCCGTTGGGGATGGCAGTGCCATGGCACGGGGGAATGTCCAAGGAGATGCGTGCCCAGAGCTGACCACACAGCCTGTGCTTGGCCTCGCTCCAGCTGGGGGGGGGGGGGGGGG